TCTTCGATGTTGATATGATTCACCATTTCTTCCCATGTGCTTAATTTAGGTTCATATTTCATTTTATTTTGAAATTCTGACCATCATTCAGGCAACTTCTCAACCAAAGCATAAGTTTGTAAAGTGTCACTTACCGGAATCCCTTCGGTGATTAGATCCCCAACTAAATTTTCGAACTCATGTACTTGAGCAATAATTGGCTTACCGTCAACCATTTTGTAGTTCAACCAATTGGCGACAGCATATTTTTTCCGTCCTGCATCATCTGACCCGTATTTCTTTTGCAGCAAGTCCCAGATTGCCTTCGTGGACTTGTGAGGCGCATAGATGTCCAAGAGCGAGTCAGACATGTACTGAAGTAGAATGCCCCTTACCATTTTGTTATCACGTTCAAATTTGTTTCGAACATCTTGAGTTGTGTCAGAAGATTTCGCAGATGCCGACGCAGTCGCAGATGCCTTCGGATCTGGAGTTGCATCTTCAGTTGATGTGGTCTCGAGATCATCTCCAGCAGGTGTTGTCGGAGTCGCTGCAGCAGGGATTCCGCTGAAGGGATTGTTAGCGAGCGCATAGTCAACCTCGTGTGTCTCGAAGTGCACCATCATCTTCACTGCCCACCTGCGGTAATTGATACCGTTCAGTGGTTCAATCTTTGTAAGTTCAGCGGCGGGCTTGGACAACAGAGACGACATTTTCATGATTAAGCTTTTAATTGTTGTGGATTGGGAAAATGTCGTAGGGATCTGTATAGACTACATTTTTTATAGGCTAGATAGAGTAAAGAGGAATTTTCTGTGACGTGTGCAGGACACTGCCTTAAAAGCTTAATGCCGGAGACTGTGCAGTCTTTTTATCCGGGCGCTTTCGACTGGCTAACACAGAAGAGCTCACGTATTCTTTGCACTTAGAGAAATACGTATGAACTAAGTGTAAAGCTTATTTTTGAAGTGTGTAAAAACTGAGGTCTGGGAAGGCAGGTATTTATAGTAATGAGAATACCTGACTTCCCTGTACCAGCCACAAATATCCGAAAAAACCGAGGGAGGAACGCAACTTGCGTTCACGTTTGCCCATTAACGCACTGATTTTACTCTTGGCCACAGACTCTATTATGAGTGCGTAGAATAAGAATAATTCTGTGGAGTAGCGAATAATTCTGTGGAAAAAAAAAATTGTCGCGTAAAACTTTGACCCCTCCACACCGCGCGGGTGAACCGAGCGGGCAGCGACAGCGGTGCGCGCGGGAACTCCTCCTTTCCCTCCCTTGAAAATATTTCAAAGACTCCAAAAGGAGTGGCATTTAAATGATGGGAAAGGTGTCTCTAGGAAATCAATGTGGGACAAGTAGCAAGGCAAAATACAACATCCTTGAATGTAATCTCCAACAAGGTAGACGATTACCAGCAAATCCTATGAATTGTCCCATGGTTTTCTGGAATTGGGATAGCTCGAATGCTCTCCACAGTATCATTTGGAAGGAAATAGATGAGTCTAGTTAAGTCACAGCACCGGCTATCAAGAATAAAGTCACTGACTTTAGCATTCTCCAAATCTTCCGGGATATCCTATATCATTCTCGTGAAGTAGCCCTAATAGCTTGCTTGCAACCCACCAGTCAAACCAGAAGTTTAGATTGCTTCCATCTCCTATTCTCCAGCTTGCCCCCAACTCGATCACCAGTCTCCCTTTACATATACTTTTCCAACTCCAAGAAGAAGAACTTGGGATCTTAGTCATAAAGACATCTTCATTTTCACATATTTCTCTATCATAGCCCAGGCCCAAAGTTTGTTTAGCTCCGTAACCATTTGCCAAGAAAGTTTAATTTGGCCACCAAAGCTAGATTGAACTCCCTGGCTTTGCGGAGGCCCAGATCGACCACCTTGAGAACGGGGATGCAGACATCATCCCAATTGATGAGATGAATCTTCTTTTTATCTTCCCTATCTCTCCAAAGAAAGTCTCTGCATATCTTATCAATACCATTGCAAACCCCGCCGGAAGGGAAAAAGCTTGCATGGTGTAAACTGAGGGAGTCTGCTTTCCAATTGGCAAGTTTCCTTTTCATGTTGTTCAAGATATAGACACAGGAATTCAAAGGTATTTGCTCAGCGATGCTCTTGGAGAAATTATCAATGTGCATTATGACTTCGCGGAATTGATTAACAAACCTGAACTCTTGGAGAAATTATCAATGTGCATTATGAGATGCAGTTTAACAGTTGGCTCCTCTTGGAGAATGATATGCAGTTTAAGTGGCTCTAGAGTGTAGTTGATAGAGGGGAGAGCATCAATAGTGCGTTTGTCTTGGATGTTATTTGGCAGGCATGTAAAATGTCAATGTCACCCCACCCCCGTAGCTTGGAGAGTGGCATATGTTCCTTTACTCATTTTAGATAATATGCAGTTTAAGTGGCTCGCATCAATAGTGCGTTTGTCTTGGATGTTATTTGGCAGGCATGTAAAATGTCAATGTCGGGTAGCTTGGAGAGTGGCATAACTCTGCTGGGGATCGAACCCAAAATCTCTTTACTCATTTTAGACAATTGCCTAACGACTCTGCTGGGGATCGAACCCAGAATCTCTTTACTCATTTTAAATAATTGCCTAACGACTCTGTTGGGGATCGAACCCAGAATCTTTGGTTTCATAGACCAGCGCCTTATCCATTGGGCCACAGAGTCAGAGTGCAAACCCCTTAAAGTGAATATGTTTCCATTTCAAATATATATATATATATATATATATATATATATATATATTTCATTAGTTTTTCAATCCAAATGATAAACTTAAAAAGGTTATGATGGGGATATGGGACCCTAGGGGTCCATTTTATTGGGAAAGTATTGACCCAAGTGGGGGTGGTGAAAGAAGGAGGTTGGACCAAGTCTTGTTGGGCTAGGAAGACAAGCACGCATGGTGGGCCGGGGTGAAGAACATGGACCGGAAGGCGGGAGGAAGTAGGTGCGGGAGGTAGGTACGACGTGAGGGGGGAGGTAGGTACGGCGTGAGGGGGGGAGGTAGGTACGGCGTGAGGGGGGGAGGTAGGTACGGCGTGAGGGGGTAGGTAGGTACGACGTGAGGGGGGAGGTAGGTACGACGTGAGGGGGGAGGTAGGTACGGCGTGAGGGGTAGGTACGGCGTGAGGGGGTAGGTAGGTACGGTATGAGGGGGTAGGTACGGCGTGAGGGGGTAGGTAGGTACGGCTAAGGGGGGAGGTAGGTGCGGCGTGCATGGTGGAGGATGCGGGAGACGCGGGGATAGTGGCGACGTGACATGCATGGTGACAAACAAGCGGAGTGGGGGAGGAGCAACGTGGAACACGCGGACGCCAGAGGAGGAGGGGGGCTTGCTATAAATAGGGGCCCTGGATCTTTGGCTAAGGGGCAACTCAGACACGATAAGCACTACAGTCTAGTGGTTTTGGTCTTGTACTCTCAATCCAGTCACCTGGGTTCGATTCCTACCAGTAGCATAGTTCGCTATAGCTCATCCTGTGGGCCTTGTTCTTTGTAATTGGGCTGCCATTCTGGGCCTGTACCTCGAGCTTTGTACGTATTGTTTAGGGCCTAGCGCCCCGGGTAATAAAGTCAGTACTTTCATACCCCTGTCCTATGTTCCTATACCTGGTTTATGGTGGACCCGGTCTCAATAAAACCATCAGAAATGAATAATTTTTAATAATTAATTTTAAAAATAAAATAAAAAACGTTGGGGTGAAATGAATAATTTTTATTAATTAACTTTAAGAATAAAAATAAAAAAACGCTGGGTGAAATGAATAATTTTTAATAATTAATTTTAAAAATATAAAAATAAAAATATTGGGGGGAAATTATTTTTATTATATTTTATTTTTAAATTTATTATTAAAAATTATTTAAAAATTCCAACTGACCATCCTTGTAAGTAAGTAACCTGGTGAAATGGATGGTAACCTGCTATTAGGTGAAATTGTATATATTTAGAGTGTTCAGTGGCCTAATTGCTCTCTTTTTTTGTTCAGTGGCGTAATTACACTTTCAGATTACGTTCAGTGCCATGCAGGGTGCATATTCAGTGGCGTAATTACACTTTCAGATTACGTTCAGTGCCATGCAGGGTGCATACGGATGCACAACATAATTTGCCATAGAAAGTATGCAATTCGATCTAAATAACACACGCAAATTTTTTTCAAATTTACAAATATGCATCATGCTAATGTGATTAAAATTTTGACAAATTCTATTATGAGACCGTCTTACATATCATCATCCGTAAGATGGTTCGAATTTTTTCTAAGTATTACATTTATTGGCAAATTACTGTGTGGACTTGGTCCACATAGCACTGTATGAACCATAACAAAAATGACAACCTACTGAAGCACAAAAAGTCAATGTCTCTACACTAAGGTTCAAACTTGAGACCTCTCATTTAAGAGGTCACAACTATGCCACTCGATCACAATGTCTTTGGCAAGTTCAATGTACTTTTAATATACTAAAAATACATTATTTGTGTATTGAATATACATTATTTTATAGTATGGTCCACATGGTCCACACAATGATGATTGATTTTCATCCTTGCAATGAGAATTGAATGTGTCGTATATTGATTGAATAATTACAAAGATACAGAATACATGAATATATATATACAATAAAGGAATCAAGAGGGAGACTAGGATAGAGAGTTATAACCTAACTCAAATACATAGAGTCATAATACTCCCCCATCACATGGTAAACTAGTAACCTGTAGTTGGTCTCTGAGAAAAGAAAATCTAGGACCAGGCAGAGCTTTAGTAAAAATATCAGCAAGTTGATCTTTAGTTGAAATAAAATTGATTTAAATATCTCCAAAAGAAACTCTGTCTCTAACAAAATGATAATCAATCTCCACATGCTTAGTACGGGAATGGAAGATTGGATTTGCATACATATAAGTAATAAGTAGTACCAAGATTATCACACTACAACTTGGGAATATGAATATTTTGAACTTTGATTTCACATAGCAGTGACAAAATCCATATTACTTTCATCAGCTAGAGCTTTATATTCAGCCTTAGTAGAAGATCTAGCTACAGCTCTCTGTTTCTTACAAACCCAAGACACAAGATTAGACCCAAGAAATACAGCATAACCACTAGTTAACTTACGATCTTCAAGACAGTCAGCCCAATCAGAATCAGAAAAACCATGTATATCATTTGTCACTGACTTCCTTATACGTAAACCATAAGTAGTAGTTCGCTTAACATACCTCAGTACTCGCTTCAATTGTGCCCAATGTGAAACTGTAGGAGCATGCATATGTTGGCAGAGTTGATTTACTACAAACGATAAATCAGGCTGTGTGACTGTGAGGTATTGTACTATTGTACCACCCCAGCCATACTCTTGTACTGTGTAGGATCATCATACAAATCTGCACTGGAAGGAATAGATTTTGACACAGGAATAGGAGTGGTTAATGGTGTACAATCTGTCATGCCAGCACGCTTTAAAATATCAACGTCATATATCTCTGTTGACTTAATTGTTTCAATTCCAAGAAAAAACGAAGTTCATCAAGATCCGTAATATTAAACGCAGTAGACAATTTTGACAGTAACACATTCACTAGATTCTGATCACTCCCTATCACAAGAATATCATCAACATAAACCAATAGAAACATGTTAATGTTCCGGTAGCGACCGTTCTTTGTCTTAAATCATCGGTTACGGAATTAATCTTGAATTAATTCCAATTTTGAATTCCAGATTTAATAATCAACTACTGGTCTGATGTTAAGGGTACAAGACTGATATTATATCAGTTTAAATGTCATGAATTAAATGCTACAGGGCGTTTGGTTGGAGGGATTTTAAATTCTCTTCCCACTTAATTCTCATCTAATTCCAAAGGCCATTAAATTCCGTAGTTTGGTTGGAATTGCAATTCCCATGTCCCCCCCTGGTATTTTAATTCCTGGGAAAAAAAGATAGTGATGAGTCAAAATTACCCCTTCCTTTTTTAACCTAAAATTAATGTCTAACAACAATAATGGACATTTTTGACTTTATACTACTTATTCCCTTTCAATTCCCATGTATACCAAACATTGGAATTGAAATTCCCAGTAATTCTATTCCTGCCAACCAAACACTGGAATTTAAATTCCCACTTTATTCCCAGTAATTCAACTCCCATAGAATTACAATTCCTTTCCCACATAATTCCCCCCCCCCCCAACCAAACACCCTGTAAATGCTATTAATTCCTCCAACTCCTATATAAGTTGTGGAAGAGCAGGTGATTTTTTAACAACAACAAATCGTAGTATTTTCTCTCTCGAAACTTTGCTCCTACTCCTTTCTTAGACAATTGTGTTCATCTCGCGCTTTAGTTTGCCAGATTCCATTGTTTGAGTGCTTAAACTTGGAATCGTAATACGTTTTATCCTAGAAACCTATGCTGCAACGCTCCTAGCACCTTTAGGAGACAACAAATAAAGTTTTAAGGAGAAAGTACAACTCGACTCGTACTTACAAACTAGTCAAAAATTCCTTCGTCCCCGTGATTATTTTCTTCCCAAAAATTTGTAATTTTTTTCCCAAAAAATAATAATCTTTTTTCATAAGATTATTATTATTTTTTCGTGCATTTCGATCAACAATATATTGATTAAAATGCAAGAGGGACGACATTGGTTTCATGCCCATGGTTTTCCGAGGAAACATGTCACCTTGATCGAGTAGAACAAACATTGTGGTTTTTCGAAAGTTTTTTCTGGTTTAAGTGCATCTCCTTTTTAAAACATCAAACTTTACATCAAAATGAACAGTTATAGTATATTATTACATCAAATTTTAATATCTTCAACCTATTTATACCAAATATTATTTATACATTAACATAATTTATATTCTCATAAATTTTTTTTTTTTTACTTCTTGTTTTTAATTTTTAAAATATAATATTTTTACTACGACATTGTAATTTTATAATGACCCTATTTGGTAACATAGTTAGCTTATCAGTCAATTTTAGTTTATTTGACCACTATTAGCTATTTGATTTGCTTAAACAACCATATATGTGTTTGATTAATTAACTTTTTGTAACAACTTATCACTCCAAAATGTTAAAATTCAAAAAAACTGCTCAAAATATTTTTTTCGATCAACTTTTTGAAAAAATAATTTTCATGTAATCAGTTATCAGTTAACAGTCAATTTACCAAATATTTTTCTACAATCAACTAATGCTATAAACTAGTCAAACTCACTAGCCCAATCAACTAAAAACTATCGGCCAACAGCTATTTACCAAACACCTCTTATAGCTTTTCTACGAGTCGCAAAGGAAACAATCAAACAAACAACAAAAACTTTTTTTGTTATTTAGGTTTGCCCAAAACCTTTTAAATTTAGAAAATGGGCTGTGCATATATATATATATATATATATATATATATATATATATATATATATATATATAACTTGACTGAGAATATCTCTTCATGGACCAAATATTCCTTGAGTTTTTGGCCATTATTTGTTTATCCCATCACTTTGATAGTACATATGAATAAAGTTCAGACACATTATAATAATTTAATCAATTTTATTTTTTAGAAAGTTAGGATTTTGGATACAAAAGAAAAATAAATATTAATTGATCACGGAAGTATTTATGGTATATAAGAGCATCTCAGAATTAACTGGACTCCTATAGTAGCCCGTTCTATTCATTTCCTCAGAGGCTCAGATGATGATTAGCCCATACTATTTTGTGCTATTGTGAATTTGTCATTTTTCTATTGGGCTTAACTTCATATAAAAAGCAAAAGAGCATTCTACAATCATTATTGTCTGGGCTGTGGTCCACAAGTAAACTATGGTCTAAAAATATATAAATGTATATTATTCTAACTAATAACAAACATTATTGTAATTCATGAAGTACATTATTTTATCTCAGAAATTTCATTCTAATACATGTACATTATTCAACACATAAAATACATTATTTTAACTCATAACATACATTATCTTACTCTAGAAAGTTCATTATTTTAACACATAAAGGTGCGAAGGACGATTTTTTTTTTTAACGTTAAAACGATATCGTTTTAAACTGTGATATACACAATAATTTGCCAGCATTCAGTTGGCCAACATATTTGAATTGGGCTTAGCTTCAAATCCGATTTCTTTATTTTATTTTTTAATTTATGCAAAAAATTTTACGAGACTGTCTAAAAATCTTGGTCTATAAAGAGGGATCTGAAAATGAGTTTGCACAACAAAGAATGAGTTTAATTTTCAAAATTACTACGTTTTTTTAAGAAAGGTTTTGTTTCAAAAATATTATATTTTGAATTCTTTATTGAGAAATGATATGTTTTACTTTAAATGTACTTTGTATTATGTGTTACCTGTTCACAAGTATATACTTTTAAACTAAAAAGCAATAATTTATTCGTCACATTTTATGTATCTAGTCTGATTAATGATATTTAACTTATTTACAATTTATCTTTTTATAATATTTTATATAGTATTAATATATAAATTTTATATATTTAAAAACTAAAGTAAAATACTATTAAACACATTAAAATAAAATTTAAAAGTATAATAAAACATTAATGAAAATAAGTGAACTAGACATTAAGTGACTCTCCAAAATCAGAGGTCATGGGTTTTTTGCTCTAGTGAGAGCTGTATTGACTCTGTGTGCTTTAATAGGTTAAGAAAGTATATATAAACATATACTACATTCAAATAGAGTTGAGTCAAAAAAGTTGAATTAAAAATAACTTCAGTAAAGCCCATAGAATAATTGTTATTCCAAAAGTATTAAATTTTTACTGAAAAGTAATATGTTTTACTTTAAATTTGTCATGTTACTTCTCAACAAGTATTTAACTTTTAATTAAAAAGTAATTATTATTACTCTATATTTCAAAAGTATTACATTAAGAGTAAATATTATGCTGTAGAATCGTGTCCACCTTTGCAAGGTGAACACGGTTTCAAAATTGTCATAATTGTGAATATAGAGTTCAAAAAGTATGAACATAGAATTTTATAATTATGAACATAGAGTTCTATAATTATGAACATAAAGTTATGTAATTGTGAATATAGAGTTCAATAATTGTAAATATGAAGTTCAAAAATTATGAACATAGAGGTTTATAATTATGAACATAGAGTTTTATAATTGTGAATATAGAGTTAAACAATTGTGAATATGAAGTTCAAAAATTATGAACATAGAATTTTATAATTATGAACATAGAGTTCAGTAATTATCAATATAGAACCGTGTCCACCTTGCTAGGTGGGCACGGTTTCATGGCATAACAATTGTTTTTGAGGAGTCTGGGCTTTGTATAAGGAACTTGAGACTCAATACATACAATGAAGCACTTGATCACCGTTTTTAGGCGTGTGAAACACACTATCCTAAAAGTTTCTAATTTCACTTTGAGCAACAATGGTAATCAAACCAAAACTTTTGAGATACAAACAACAACAAAAAAATGTCAAATTTCTCAAATTGCTTTTATGAGAAAAAATTCAGATTTAGATTTTTAGTATGTAAAATTTTTCTCGTATAACTTTGTAGTAGATAAGTGGTACCTCTTCAAAAGAGAATTATATTGCTCACTTATTTAGAAACTATTACATTATAAGATATCGCATTTACTGAACAATTAATAAGGTAAATATATCTTTACGATGGGAATTCAAAGGGTAAAACATACCTATCATGTGCATGGATCACCCATTGAACACTATTGTGTCATTTTTCAATCCCAAAAGATCAATTTTCATTCGTTGTTAAAAAAAATTAGTTAAAAATGATATTTAAAGTGATCATTTTAAGGTATTAATAATACGAGTGTAGTCTACTTCCAGTTTGGGTGTAGTAAAAGTGAATTCAAGATTTCCTAAATGAGATATCTAATTTAATACTCCGTATGTTATATGATAAAAATAAATAATTGGTAAATAAGAAATTAATTCTCAATGTATTAGAAAAAAATAGAATTGAAAAAACAATTTTCAAGTAACCTTCTATCCACGTAGGCTCTGTTTGGCAAACCTAGCTGAAAAGCTATAAGCTAGGAGCTGAAAGCTGAAAAGCTATAAGCTCGGAGCTGAAAACTGAAGAGCTGTTAAGCTAGCTGTTATGGTTGAAAGTGTTTAGTAAAATTGATTTTTTGATAAGTAGGTTGATAAATGTAAAAAGACTAAAAAAGACATCTTCATAAAATTTAAATTAGTTTGTTTACATATTAAAATTTAACATTTTATCTTTAAAAAAAAATTAACATTTTGAAATAGAACTATTAGCATAATCATGATCTAGCATTTCATAATGAAATAACAATATTGTTGCAAAACTAATAATAATAATGGTGATGGTGATGGTGATGGTAATAATAATAATAATAATAATAATAATAATAATAATAATAATAATAATAATAATAATTGCGGATAAAGGAAAAGAGAAAATGGTTTTAATTGGAAAGGGTAAAGTATGTCATTTCTTTAAAATAATAAGGATAAAGATGAAAAAAAAAAAAAAAAAAGTTAGGACGCTAGGAGCTTATTTTGAAACGCTACCTAAGGTAGCGTTCAAAAATAAGCTCTTATTTTAAACTAGGAGCTTATTTTGGGAACATTGCCAAACAGTATAGCTTATTAGTAGCTTAAAATAAGCTATATAAGCTCCTAAATAAGCTTTGCCAAACAGAACCGTATTGTAAAGGAGTGTAAGTTTTTTTTTTTTTTTTTGATCAGATGAGAGGGGGACACCCAACATAAACTAGATGGCATTCACCACTCGTTGAGAGACCCGTCTTGTCGACAAGGCTCCAATCCGGTCTAAGGCAACCATTTCCTCAAGCTCTCGCGGCGGCAGCTCTAGGATGTGAGGTTCGCCTTGGTGTAATGCCGCCTTGGACGCTAACTTATCAGCAAGTCTGTTCTGTTCTCTATACACGTGAACATATCGCACCTCGAAGAAAACTGCTGCTTCTCTAACACACATGCAAAAGGATGTTATTGGAGAGATCTCGCCACCCCTCGCCATTTCGCAGGATATCCATCAAGCATTTTGAGTCGCATTCAAGAATCAAGAATGATACGTCTGGCTCCATACTCATTTGCCATCCGAAGGCCTTGCAGAATACCCCATGCTTCCGCCGCTTCAACAGAGCATCTGCCAATTCTGTACAAGAATCCTCTTCGCCAGTCGCCATTGGTGTCTCGGAGAACACCGCCACAGCTCGCCAGTCCATCTTCCTTGCAACTGCCATCAACGTTCAACTTCAACCATCCCTCCTCAGGTTTCAACCATGTCAGCCTCGTATCCTCTTCCCGATTGCACCTGGGCAGTGGCCGGTGCCTGTTCTCGAAAGCCCGAGCCGTCTCCCCATCACACCGACGTAGCCAATTCATCTTTTGGTCAAGAGACACGAATGTACCATTGAAGATCTCCTCGTTGCGCCACCTCCACATCCACCAGAGTCTGACTCCAAAGCGCTCGGGCCATCCTTCTTCGAAACCTCGTTTAACATCACCCTGGAGATTCATCATGAACCAGTCAGTCCAAACAAGATTGCGCATGGTCTCCAGCGTTCGCCGTGGAAGAGACTGCTCCCATATTTGCTTTGCTGCTCCGCATCGTCGAAACAAGTGGTTCAAATCCTCACGCTGACCTGCACAACGATAACAACTATCATCAGTCGTAAGGTGTCGTTTGGTTCGTTCGTAGTTAGTCAAAATTTTCTCGTGTTTGATAAGCCAAATGAACACAGAAACTCTCGCCGGCGCTCTTAGAGCCCATATGAGCCCCCAAACTTTGTCAGTCTCTTTCCCTCCGGAGGTGTCTGCTAATCCATACGCTGATTTCACCGAGAACCGCCCCCGGGGATCCAGGCTCCAACCCCATTCGTCCTGGACGTCTTCTACCGCTAAGCCGTAACCTGCTAGCCTTTCCAACTCATTTTTAGGAAGATACTGCTCTAACTTCTCCCATTTCCACCCCCTGGCTCGGTCCCAATACTCATCAACATTTGCGTAGAGGTCCGGGAGGCTCAGGGTACCATGTAGCTTCTCGTACAGCGGCTTTGGCATTAACCAAGAGTCCATCCAAAACCGGGTGGACTTCCCATTTCGAACAATATGCGTAAGACCGCTTTCCAAGACCCCTCGTGCGGCTTGAATCCCCTTCCATGCGTTGGATGTATTTCGTCTGCCCGAAGTGTTCAAATGTGAGCCAGAGCTGTGGTTGTATTTCGTCACTAAAGTCCGCACCCATAGACTGTTAGGTTCCGTTCTAATTCTCCAGCTTAGCTTCGTCACGCAATGTTCATGGCGTGCATCTTCCTCAGACCCAGGCTTCCACGCGCTTTTTCTGTTGTGATTACGTCCCAGTTTACAAGACTCATATTATTTCCCCCCGTTTGCTCGTTTCGACCCCCATAAGAAGCGTCTGGTCCGCTTTTCTTTTTCGTTACAGACACCTGGAAAGGAGTGTAAGTTAACACTAGTTAAATACAATTCAACTTTTTAGAAATTATGAATTCTGTAACATCGAAGCTCTCTTTCGCGCTCCGAATGTTCGTACAAAAATCGGCAAAATTGGAATATAGAAATAATTTTTGAATATAAATTCATTTTCAGACCAACATAAATAGTTTTACCCTTTGTTTGAGGATGTGTTTGGAAATCCCAAAAATGATTTTCAGAAATCATTTACCGGAAATTATTTTTCGGGTTTCCAATGTTTGAATGTACATAGAAAATTCAATCAACGAAAAACATTTTCCATTGATTGAAAAAATAAGGTCATTTGGACAGAAAATGACTTTTGCCAAACACACAACAAGATTTTCAGCGAAAATCAATGTTCACAGGATTCTGCCCAAAACCAATGATGCTTTTTTTATAATTTTAATAAATAAAATTATATTTAATATTATTATAAATATTTGTATATTCTAAATAAAATATTATAATATTTAATTATACAATTCTACTCATTTTTCAAAAAATAATCAAACACACCAAGACAGTTTTTCAAAATGCAACCAAACACTGAAAATGAAAATATTTTTTAAAAAATGACTTATTTTTCAGAAAACATTTTCTAGAAGTGATTTTCCTGCTTTCACGAACCCTTAATTGCGTTTTATAATTTTGTTTAAATTTAAAAAATAATAATAATAATTTTCATTGCAGTTCCTTCACTGACAAAACCTTGCTGGCACTTCAACATTTCCAACCTATGCAGATACCTTAGTGAAAAGAAGCATTTAGGTTAGGATGATTAGAATCCAAAACAAATTCTCCTCTTATCTACATCACATCCATCATCAGCAAGAAATTGATATAAGCTGAGACCAGCAGCAGCTAGCTAGCAAACAGAGAAACATGACAACAACATTAAATGTTCATCACAAAATGTGTTCAAGAATAATCCGAATGAGACTCGTAGAACTCGCTGGGGCAGGGCGACATCACCTCTTGCTCTAAGAACTGCAACACCTGCTGCATTGAAGGCCTTTCGTCCGGATTGGCATCGGTGCATCTTGCTGCGATTTCTAGGATTGCTTCTACGGTCTCTATATCTGCATCGGTGCATCTTTTGTCTACAACGTCTTCAATTCGATTCTCCTTCAGCAAGGTATTCATCTGCATATATATATATATATATATATATATATTTCGTGGTGTCAGTGGCTATTGTATTGTGTAACAATATTATGCAAAAGCTGTATGTATATGTTGTACATACCCAGCCAACAACGTTTAGGCCTCGCTTTACAAATGTTGGATCGGTAGGCCTCTTCCCGGTGACAAGCTCCAATAGGAGAACACCGAAGCTGTAGACATCAGATTTTTCGGTGGCTCTTCCACTCTGCAAGTACTCTGCTCACCAAAAAGTGTATAGGTCCATTAGCTTTTACTCATATTGGAATAACCCTTTCAAGTGTGAATAAACCCCGCCTTGTGACCCTAGCCAGTAAAAGACCACAAGGAAGTAAACCAGCCTAGGCTACCTATAGCTCCCTAGCCAGTCAGATTGGTATAACCCTTTTGAGTGTGAATAAATCCCACCTTGTGACCCTAGCCAGTAAAAGACCACAAGGAAGTAAACCAGCCTAAGTTACCTTAACTCCCTAGCCAGTCAAATTGGTATAACCCTTTCGAGTGTGAATAAACCTCACCTTGTGACCCTAGCCAGTAAAAGACCACGACCCTAGCCAGTAAAAGACCACAAGTAAACCATCCTAGGTTACCCATAGCTCCCTAGCCAGTAAAAGACCACAAGAAAGTAAACCAGCCTAGGTTACCCATAGCTGACTGGCTCAAACCAAGGGGGGCATGGATTCGAACTTGTGACCTTATGGTTACAAGCGTGGATCTCTTGCCATTTTGGCTGGGGTTACACCCTAGATTGGTATATTTGTATATATATCAAACGAATTATTAGCAAATGAGCACAACCTGGAGCCAAATAACCGAAAGTTCCGGCAACAACAGTTGTTACATGACCATCCTCGTCCACCAAAAGCTTGGCGAGGCCAAAGTCTGCGACATGAGGCTCGAGGTTCTCGTCCAGGAGTATGTTGCTCGATTTTATATCTCGGTGAACGATTCTAGGACTACAATCGTGGTGTAAGTATGCGAGTCCTCTTGCAGAACCAAGAGATATTCTTAAACGTGCATTCCAGTTTAACGGTCTATCTTCATCCACGTGTTGAGGTCGACCTAGACACGAAGAACACAATAAATAAACAAAACAAATACAAATTAACATTGAATGCCAAGAAACCCGTGATTACATACCGTGCAAGAAGTCATCCAAGCTTCCCATAGCTAAGTAATCATAGATCAGAAGCTTCGCACTAGGAAGACTGCAGTAGCCTCTGAGGTTGACCAAATTTATGTGTTTGACACTACCCAAGACCTCCAACTCCCTCTCGAAAACCTGGTCAGAACCTTCACGATTCCGATCAATTCTTTTTACAGCAAATGTGCCACAATCATTCATAACCATTCGATAGACGGTGCCAAATCCTCCAGCACCAACGACATCTTCTTCATTGAGTGATTCAATCTTCTCTATAAGCTCGCACGAAGGATACGGAAGATCACCGTGAAAAGTAATGAGCTTGGCACCTGTGGAATATCGGGGGTTAAAGAACAATACGAGTGAAATTGGGGAAAATTAATTGGAGATTTCAGCAGGCATATCCATCTCACATGGTTCTTGATAAACTTGTTTTTTGACTTCAGTGTATCTCTTTGCTGCCCTTTCCTTCTTTGATACCGACCAAACCCATAGGAATACGAGGAGCACAATGAATACAACGCCTAAGGTAGACATTGCACCAATAACCACTGCTCTTACGTAATGAGATGGTTTCTTAACTGGGACTGAATAAACCAAATTAATTTACAACATATTAGTATACCTCAAAATTTCAAACGAAAGGTCAAGATTGAGTAATATATGCATAGCCTTAGGACAAAATTCCCGAAACACCAGAAATCGTAATTTTGTAGTAGTAAAACACTATACACAATTACCTGATGCTTCATCGCTTTCAGCATGAGGCAGAACTGCAGGAAATCCCATTGATGTTTTACACGGCTTGGACACTTGCTGGCCACACAAATCCAAATTCCCAATGAACCTAAGCATAATAACAACCGTTTTAGGATAACCACCTAAAATATTAAAAAAAATTTACAAAACAAACAGTAGCAAAGACATCAAGGGACTTACGATTTGCTTCCAAAGGTGCTAAGGGCTCCAACATCTGGGATCTCACCCGAGAAAAAGTTGGTGGACAAATTGCTGAAGTATTTTGCAGTGAACATGTTACTAAATAGGCACAGAATTCCTTCATAGAACACTATGTATACAAATCCAACTCCAACTTACAGATAACGGAGAAGTTTCAGCTTTCCAAGAGAAGAAGGTATAGCACCCCTGAGTGAATTGCTTGATAAATCCCTATATAACATTGAATTCAAATTCTTGATCACGGTGAGTTAATCATCAAAATCATTCACAAACAGCTTACAGCATAGATATCTTACAATATGTTAAGCATAGAAAGGTTCCCAATGTTCGAAGGTATGCCTCCTTGAAGATAGTTAGCCCGAAGATACCTATAGCCACAAACAATTTCACCTTTGTTACAAGTTCTCCAATATCATTTCGTGATACCCCTCAAAAGCGAAAATGGTTTTGGCACTTACACTGCTCTCAATTCAGTACAACCGCCAATCTCATTTGGAATTACACCATGTAGGTTATTCTGGTGAAGCGCCCTGGTTTTAAAGAGAAAATAAGAAGTTTTACTACCAAAATTATGCACACTAAAATATATTTCCTCTGAAGATTAAGCATCACTGTAAAAATTGAAAATTTAATTTCTATTGAACATTAATGAACTTACAGCCTTTGTAATCTATCAAGTTTACCAATGCTGGGGGATATGATTCCACCAAGTTGCATATAAGGTAAGTTGCTGAAATCCCAAAGATAAAAAGGAAAAAAGAATAAGAACAAGTGTAGTTGTCCTAAGAAACAGAGAAAACCATGAAAATAGCATAGCTAGTTGAGACCCCCAAAACACACACACACACACACACACACACACACACAGAAAGGGTGAAAGGAATAGCATACATAGAGGTGACTCTTTGTTCAATTAGATGGCAAGAAATGCCAGTCCATGTACAAGGAGTTGCATCAGAATCTCTCCAGTTACTCAGAACATTTCTGGTGTCATTCAGAGTAGCCTTGAGTTCCAACAGTGCAACACCTTCATAAAAACAACAAACAAGTATCAAACCACGTAAAGCCTTCAACTTTTCTTAGCTCAAAAGCATATTTTAAGCAAACAATCATAAAAACAAGCCCCAAAAACAGATCTTTATAGAACACCTCAGTAAAAATGAACCAAAACATTAAGAGAATAAGAAAAAAAAAAAAAGTAAAACGGGCATACCATCAGGGTTGAGAGCAAGAGAGATTCTGCTGAAAAGGGTTGCTCTCAAAATCGCTGAGAAGATCAAAACCCAAATACCCATTTTGGTTTCTTGAAAAAATGGCACTCTTTTTCAAAATTTTAAGAGTTTTTTGAATCGAGTTTCAAAGTGTACCCTCTCCTTCGGAGAACAGTATTATCTGGCCTCTGGGTATTGTGCAGTGAAGCCCACCAACCAAAAAAGTTTGGAAGGGAGTGAAACAGGGGTTTTTGAGGGGGTGAGGGTTAGTCTTGAATCATAGCGGTGGGGTTTTCAAAAGAGTAAATGTGATTGATAATTTGATATCATTACAACCCTTACTCCTGAAAAATCCCCCATAATTATAATGAAGATAAGAGATCTGAGAAGAAGACCACTTTCAAAGAAGTATAGAAAGTTGTGCAGTGGAGAGAGAGAGTAGCCGTTGTCAAGTTCAAAATGTGTACAAGAGAAGAGGCAGTACCCTCGCGCGTCAAGAATGTTTCACACTCGCTACTTTTATAAACAATTTTAACTTTCATTTATTATGTTTTTTTTTTTGTTTCAAAAAAAATTGTTTTTTTTTGTATCTGATCATATATTTTTTCCACCACTCAATAAAATAAAATCACAATAAATCTTACTCTAACGGTGAGATGAAATTTGATTTTCACTGAAGATATGAAGGTCAGTGAGAGACCCAAAATCCAGAAATTAATCAGAAATGATAAAGATTTCTTGTATGCAAAATGTATAAGTAGGGGTATGAACTTCGTATGGCTTTGGCCTTTTTTAGTTGATGATATGCATTCTGTGTTTTTTTTTTTAAATCAGAGGTGATGAATATTTCTTGTATGCAAAATGTATAAGCAGGGGTATGAACTAAAGATTAATTGGATAACTTGCGATTACCTTTGAGTAAAATTTTTGGGGCTTAAGATTAATCTAGAGAACTTAATATATCAAAATTAAATAAATAAATAAAAACATACATGTTGAATCCATATAGCAATGTAAATTTTTTATTTTTTTATTTTTCTAATTTCTTTTTGTATAAACAAAATTAATGTATAAAAAATATCATTAATAATTTTTAACTGACATTTTTATCAACTTTTTAATGAACCTAAAATCCCAGTAAGTTAATACTATAACCTATAAATTTATTAATTCAACAAATTTATTATGTCACTACTATAAATTCGTCACTATTACAAATTCATTAAATAGATACTAAAAATTTATTAAATTACTACTACAAATTCATTAGATCTTTCATTAAATTTAAAGAAACTATGTCATGAAAAGTTTCTCAACTTTATAAAATTATACCAAACAACTTCACCTTATAGTTTAAAATAGAAGGTTAAAAGAAAAAAAAAAAAAAAGTAATAAAGTAAAATGAAGTGCTATAGGTAGAAATAGCTGCAGGTAAATAATCCGAAAAGCAAAATAAACTCAAATATTAAATAATCTTTTTTATTTCACTTTATGACACTTCTGAATAAGATACTTTTACATTTTTGTACACATGCCAAAAATAGTAAAAATAGATATTTAATGATCAATTAATAAATTTTTTAAAACATATTTTCCTTTTTTTATGACGAGGGTAACTCACAGTTACTATTTAAGAGGGTGTATATCGCTTGTGTATAATAATCTGTAAATGACATAAAAGAGATAAATTGTACTATAAAAATATAGACTCAATTGAAAAAATATTAATACGAATCAAACTTGTGATATTCTAATACAAAAGTTATGTTTTACTTATTCAGTCACAGACACAAATTCCCTTTTATTGGGGAAACTACATGAATGTAGCATTTTACAAATTTGGCACCATGTGGACCATTTTTATTGATGCATAGAATGGTAGATAGCAAAACCTAATCAGTTTTTTATTATTTTAAAAGAGGGAATCTTGGTGCCATGTTGACCATTGCTCAAAGCTCCTACAATCTTCCGTAATCTATGATAGCAACTTAGCAAGTACTCCACCCATAAATATCAGTTTTGCCAAATGGTATTTAATACTCCATTTGAGTCATTTATATATCTGATTCGATTAACGAGACTTGATTATTATTATTTTTAAAAAAATGATAATTTTTCTCTCTAAGTTATATACTTATAGTATTTTTTCTCCCTGAATTATTCATGTAAGTACATTAGCCCCCTCAATTATTCTAAAAGTGACAATCCCCCCCCCCCTCCCGATATATTAAATTGACATTTCTACCATTAAAGTAAATATTTTATATATTTTTCTTCTTCAACAAATAATTGCATATACGTAGGGATGATCACGGTTCGATTCGAGCTTAATCGGATACTATAGCAATCGAATTAAAAGTTTCCGGTATTGATTCAGATCAGAACCCAATATTTGGATTTCAGTTTATTAAAATTATGAATCGAAAAAACTGGATCCTGAACCTTAAACCGGCGGTTCCGAATCCGGTTCACGATTTTGAACCATCTTTATTTTAATTTTTTAAAATTTTAAAATAGTATAAATTCAACAATAAATGTATTTTATTTTTTTAGGTCGGAACATGAATCGGTCGTTCCGGTTCGCGATTTTAATAAACTCTAAATATCAGGTTTCGCTTCTAAATTGTAAGTGGAATATTTTGGTTTGGTTGCTATAATGCCTGCTTTGTTTGAATCAAATCGTTGTTATAATTTGTTGGAGAAGAAAAATAAATGAAATACCGGAAAAAATGCTATAAATATATATATTATCTCTGGGGGGGGGGGGGGGAGTGCTATTTTCCCTATTTTTAATTCATTCTTTCATTATATTTTTTTTTTTTGGTTGCCCAAAGGTATCCCTCCAGTCGATAACCAAAAGACTTATCCCCGTCCCTATTGTCAACACACTAATGGCATGTTTGGTTCATAGAATAGGTCAGGACTGGAATGACATTCCTTGGAATAGACCTATTCCATTGTTTGGTTCATCAATTTGTATTGGGAATATTATTCCTATGAATGACATATTCCCTTTTGCAAGGGGAGTAGCCATTCTTAGGGGGCCTTGGTATTAGCTATTCTCATGCTTATGGGAATAGCTTTTATATTATAAATGCCAAAAATACCCTTACATACATAGATACACACACACACACACACACACACACACACACACACACATATATATATATATGGAATAAGGGTCAAATAGGCCACTCAACTGCACACCAACATGTAATTAGGCCATCCAACTCAAAAAGAATGCAATTGGGTTCCTGAAAAACACAAACTTATGCAATTTTTGACCCAAAATTACTTGTTCACCTGAATAGGAGGTTACTAAATTTAAAAATAATTTTTTTACAATAATTTTAATTAAACTAAATATTTAAAATAAAAAAATTAAAAAAAATTAAAATTAAAAAAAAAAAAGAAAAGAAAGAAAAGAAACCGCCGGAGACGAAGAAGTCTTCGTCTCCGGCGGGTCGCTTCGTCTCCTGGCCGGAGACGAAGTTACCTTCGTCGTCTCCGGCTATGGAGACGAAGGGACCTTCGTCCCCAGGCCATGGAGGCGAAGGTCTCTTCGTCTCCATGGCCGGAGACAAAGGTACCGGCTATGGGGTACCTTCGTCTCCGGCAATGGAGACGAAGAGACCTTCGCCTCCATGGCCTGGGGACGAAGGTCCCTTCGTCTCCATGGCCGGAGATGGCGAAGGTAACTTCATCTCCGGCCAGGAGACGAAGCGACCCGCTGGAGACGAAGACTTCTTCGTCTCCGGCGGTTTTTTTTTTTTTTTTTTTTTTTTTTTTTTAGTTTTTTTAAAAAAAATTTTTTTATTTTAAATATTTATTTTGATTAAAAATTATTGTTAAAAAATATTTTTAAATTAGTAACCTTCTATTCAGGTAAACAAGTAAATTTTGGGTCAAATTGCATAAGTTTGTGTTGTTCAAGGACCCAATTGCATTCTTTTTGAGTTGGATGGCCTAATTGCATGTTGGTGTGCACTTGGGTGGCCTATTTGACCCTTATTCCTATATAAATGGAAGGGTTCAGATACGGTTGATGCTTCCCGTGCGGTTGTGCGGTTAGACGCACCTTAAGCATTAACCTGGCGCACCTTAAGTACACAAATCACCACGCATCTTAAGCCCACAAACAAAACACCTTAAAAACACAAATCACTCACCTTAAGTATAAAAACCACGCACCTTAAGCACAGAACAAAGCAAATACAGGCCAATTTGCAGGACTGTGAGTGATGCAGTTCATGTTTGTTGAATATGATCCTGATGACACCGCCACCCCTAATTAAATTTATTTCCTATTTCTCCACCACCACTGTCGTCGCCGCCACCACTAGAGATGTCAATTTGACCATAAACCAATGGGCTGGCCCAATAAGCCCTAAAACCTATAGGGGCTAAAATCCAAAAAAAAAATATCAATCCAATAAAAAGGCAAGCTAATTGGGCTGGCCCTATAGGGTTATTGGGTTGAGTTGGGTTAACCCACTGGATTGGTGACCCAGCCCGTCTATAGAATTCGTCGTAGCACAGTTTGTTTTGTTTCTATTTGCCGTGGACTTCTAGTTTCTATTAGCAATTTGAATTTCTATTCGCATTCTGGACTGCAAGCATAGGCGTCCACAATCTGCTGCTCCATATGTTCAAATAATTTTAATACAATTATATAAATAAAATATTTGGTTTATTTGGTTCTGTAGCAGTAATGACGTCCACTATACATTAGTTTAATACAATTATATAAATTAAATATTTGGTTTATTTGGTTCTGCAGCTATAGCCTATAGGTTTATTTATTTAGGAATTTAAATTTTTTTCTCCGCTAGACCGCCTGTGGGTACTGAATTATTATTTAATTTATATGTTGAATTATTATATGCATTGAATTTATTTATTTGAAAATTACATATTTTTGGTATATTTCTTAATTTTATGCTCTTATTTGAATTGGAATTAATTATTAAATTTAACTTATTTTGGATGAAGTAAATAATTTTATCCAAAATAAATAATTTAACTTATTTTGAATTAAATGTAAAAATAAGTGGGGCATTTTTTAATTTTAGTTCATTGATTTAGCCCGTTCGATAAACCCATAGTCCATAGTTTAGGGTTAGGGCTAATCCAACCCAAAAACTAAACAAAACAAAATCACCAACCAAACACTGTAATATAATTTCTAAAGTATATTCATTCTGTGAACCAAACGTGCTGTAAGTGGTAGGGGAATGGCCAAATGGTTTAATAACCGTAGAAAACCGAAAACCGACTTTAATAACCGTAGAAAACCGAAAACCCGAAAAACCGACATTTTTTTTAGAGTAATAACCGTGACCGACCGATAACCGATTTTTTCGGTCGGTTCGGTTAGCGGTTATCTGTCGGTTAACCGATATTTTGCTCACCCCTAACGCCAACCATGTTGGTTATTCTTTCAATATATTGAGTCTATA